AGCATCACAAAATATATGATTGACTATAATAGATTGAAGAAGGATCGGTCCCACTCAGTGCTCACTTCGTTAGGTCAAGCAGACAAATTCAGGAGAAACACTCAGTTTAATTGCAGCGGTTGAAGGCTTTGACAGAGAAGGCTGTCCAGCTTGCTGGTGCATTACTCAATTCACTTGAAATAAGAGACTGAAATCAACAGAAATTGAAAGCTGGCAGTATGTACCACCCGCTGAAAGTCCACTAGCAGAAGTAACTCAATGTGACTGTGTTAGACCAGGTAGACTAGGGAAACAATGACCTAATACAATCTTACAACAATTAGTAAAGGTTGCAAGATATGTTTACAAAGCCCTTCCCTTAGTATGCAAACCAGCGTAGAAGGCACAGACAATTATCAATGCTCCAAAATTACAAAATGAGACAAATCAACCACTGTCCGTACTTGCCAGTCTCACAGAAGGGGCAGTGGAGAAGCCAGGGGAAGGTTTCTTCATAATGAACTCCCCAGATCAGAACCCCTTCCTGGCCCCTCAACCACTGCTCATGGGCAATGCACGCTTTTACAATTCATACATCATGTAACATTAATAAGCAATCTTAATACAGAAAGCACACTTTACGTTTAGGATTGTCTGTATTTTCCTTTGCTTTTGCATTCATTGTTTTTCTTTTCTACATTTTTCAGAATATCATTCAGAGAGGATGGCTCTAGAGATTAACCAGTGTCCTAAGTTATATAGGCAAGTATTAATGAGAAACATACACGACTGTATTTCATTAACCTTGTTTTAATGGCATTTTGCTTTCAAGAGTACACATATTATTTAATTTTTCTTACTGCTTAAAGGTACCTATTTTAATAATGGGGGCACATAGCCTCCTCTTTCTGTCTCTCAGACAGTGGTTTATTTGAACCACTGACCATATGGTTAGCAGTCCAGAGCCTACCTGACTGCGCCACCAGGGCTCATGACTTTAACGTGGGGAAGGAGAGTCACCATCATCAGTACCAGCTGCTCAAGGCCCATTGGAGCGAGGCAGAGGTGAGACATGCTCCCACCCTCCATCTTTCCTTATCAATTCTGACACCAGCCATCCCTCCTTGCTACAGACAACTTCTCAACGGCTTCAATAATTTATTGCAATGGCCACATAGAACTCATAGACAGTACAACTATGAGATTTTTAAAGGACATTAACAGGTCACAAATGCTCAGGAGACAATGATTTGGGTAGGACAGCTTCTTCTCAGCTGAACCTACAGGCGGGCCTCTCTGGAGCCTTTGGCTTCTCAGCCACATGGTCCCGGGCGCACCCTCCTGCCCTCACATGCCACAAAGCTCTGGCTAGGGCTCCAGTAAATGCCCAACAAGCATGCCTCCCCCCTTCCCGAATATGCTCAGCTCAGCGCCCTGGATCAGCAAACCTGGCTCCCCAACTACATGCCTCCAGGCAGCCCTCTCCACAAGCCAGCCTCCTGCTCAGACGCTCGAGTTTTACTTGCTTTGCGGGCTGGAACGTCCACCACTCTATCGCACCTCTTGCTCCTGGTGCTGCTGCTGCAGCTCCCCTGGTGTTCGTTCTTCCAGGGTCCAAAGGATGTGCTCAACTCCCGATACTTCGCTTTTGCTGGTTGTCAGATGCCCACTTCCTGCTTCTGAGATGGTTCCTTTTAGACCCATAGGGTTGCTCATCACAACTGTCCTCATGAACAATCCCTCACAACTGAACCTGCTCCGTGTCTTCCCTCACCTCGACTCAGAGCAATCTGGGACAGATTCCTCGGTGGGAGTTACAGAGACTGTGGTGAGGAGCAACACATTAAGTAATTCACTGCACTACACAGTAGGTATACAAAATATATACACAGATGCATATACTATACACTCTCTCGATGCACTTTCTAAAGCACTATACATTTCGTTGGGATCCCGATGGTGCCAGCACCCAGTGGTGGCGGCAAGTTTTGATTTGCTAAAGAATAAGGCCCGTTATGAAGGACATAGGAGATTGTCATGTGTGTGATGGATTCATTCATACTAATCCCTAGAAAACACACACACAATAATATTTCTTTATGTGCTTGCCAGACTTTGGAAATACCATCTGTTTGGAGAGTTGATTTTTCCCTTCAAATCTCGATCCAACTTAAAATTAGTTACCGAATACATTTTCCAATAGCAAAACGTCAATAGGAATGTATCTTCCCAATGTCTATACTTCCAGGATTTACATTTTACTTCTCTAACTCACGAATTCCAGCCTCAAACTAAGACCACTGCCTTTGAGTGGGGTCCGACTGACGACAACCCTGCAGGAGAGAGGAGAACGGCTCCAAATCTTTATAGAAGCAGATGACTTCTTTCTGCTGCGGAGCAGATGGTGGATTTGAACCTCTGATCTTTCGGTTAGCAGTGCTGTCTGTCACCCACTGCACCATCAGCGCTGCGTTCCCTTAGCGGTACCACAAAACAAAAACCGAAAACCCAAAGCACGACGGCTATAAAGGCGCTTCGACTCAGAGGGACCTGAGACTGTAAATCTACAAGAGCAGACAGGTTTATCTTTCTCCCTCCAATGAGAGCTAGCTTCTATAATATACTCTTAATAAGATCCCAGCCATGGGCGTCTTAATTTACTAGGTGATAAAATGTAAGTTTTGAATTTTGCACAGTATCAATATTTGATTATTTGCTGAGTGAAAACATTTTCCTTGTGATTTGATTTATTTGCTTCTCAGTCTCTCGCTCGGTAAATGAGCACATTGTAACAATTACATCACTGAGACAATACGAAAGATCCCGGGCAGATCTGACTCGCTCTGTAAGGCATGTTTTGGCTCATCCCGACAGAATATTCATGCATGCTAATTGGAGAGAACGAGATAACAGGAGCATTCCATATTTATACACTTTGGTTTGGTTGATGATGTTTATTATTGGTTGTGCCACACAGTACTATTATCATGTAACATCAGGTATTGCAGCTTTAGGAAACTTTTGAGATCTCAAATTAAGACAGTGGTTGACTCATAATAAAGAAAAGGCTTTCCCCCCGTTTCTTCTTTTCTTTCATATCAGCTCTGGTATCTGCTTTGTTAAGAAGCTGGCCTGAAAAGAGGGCAAACTCACTAGTGAGTTATACCACAGGTTCCCAAATGTATTTGTCTTACCGCCCCCTTTTCAGTGCCCCCAGGCAGTGAAAAATTGTCATGCCACAGCGTATCATACAGGATGAAGTGCGAGTAACTTATGCAGTGGGCTGCAATCTGCATGGTCAGCAGTTCAAGACCAGCAGCAGCTACTAGGGAGAAAGACGGGGCTTTCTACTCCCGCAGTTACAGTCTCAGAATCCCACAGGGGTGGGTAGCTCACTCTGAGTCAGCATTGACTCGACTCGCTGGCAGTGAGAAGGAGGGATTGGTGTTTGCAGCCCCCCTGGATCATTTCAGCGCCCCTAGGGGGCAGCACCACCCACTTTGGGAACCACTGCATTAACCCCTCTTCAGCACATTAGACCCACCTTCAGCTGGAAAAAGACTGGGCTTTCTACTCCCCCAAAGAGTTGAAGTGTCCTGAACTTATGGGAACAGTTCTACCCAGCCTTACAGGCATCTACCCGATGGCAGTAAGTGTGGATTTGGGTTTTTAGTACAGACCCCAAACCAGAATGGTCAAAAACCAGAAATGATCTGGCATTCTTGTGTAGGATATAGCTTGTGCCATGCTTCCCAGGGGCACCTTGGTCCCATGGGGTTCTGTCTAAACCCAGCTGGTCTCTCGCTGTCACCTGATGCAGGGAAGGCGCACTTATTGGTCCCCTAATGTCTGCCAAGCCCTGTAGAGTCCCTGGGAAAACAGACAGGGATGAGGCCAGGGCTCTGCTTTCAGTAAATTTTCACACCAGTAGGGCAGTCGACAGTTTTCCTGATCCTACCTACGTCCCACCGCTAGGAGCTGTCTGTTTATGAAAAGTCTAGAAGAAGCCGCAGATGCATATATTTTTCTTCTTCTGTTTCATGTTTTAATATGTACAGTGATTTTGATCGAACCCCTCACTCGCTCCATGTGACTTTTCACTGTCAAATAAAATCTTTCATTAAAAAATATTACCGTGGAACTTCATAGTTTACAGTTTGGAGACAAACCTAGTCGCAGACCACACAGCTCATGGAGCGGTTTGAAATATTAAAATTATTATTAAAGACGTTCCAGTCCAAGGCCTCCGGCCCTTTCTTTGCTGCTTTGAAGCCCGGCGTTGCCCCTCCCCCGACCTTCGTCATCCCTCTCACCAATCCCACCGCAGGAGCTATGCTTCCAAGTTCTTCAAACTCAAACCCCACAAACACCCTCCAAACACAGCCAACCCAGAACCTGGGCCGCTCACAGGAACTCAGTGGCTAGGAGGGTCATGACAGTGGGTGTGATGGACAACATTCAAAAGGTAAAGATAGCAGATTCATTTCTAATCATATATGTTCCAGATTCAGAGAGATATTAAAGATACGAAATCCATTTCTAATCATAAGTCTTCCTTTTATTATGTCTGACATGAGGATAGCAGAATGTCCTTGGAAGACAGGGACACTTGATATTGCTCATTCTACCATCAGAGAGGCCAGTGGTGAATGCAATGGTTAAAGCGCTCAGCTGCTACCCAAAAAGTTGGAGGAAGAAAGGACTGGCCTTCTCCCTCTGAAGATTCAGCTACTGAATGTCTCTTGGAACACTATTGTCCTCTATCGCACACGGAGTTGCCCTGAAGCCACTCAACGGCAACGGGCCATCGTGTGAGAGAGCTGGAGATGGACAGACGCTAGAAACGAACAAATCCTCAAATATGAATTTCACCTTCCCTACTTTCCCTCCTCTCCATTCCGTCATCTGAATTTGGGAGCAACCACTTTCTCTCCAGAGCCCCAGCCACGAAAGCACACCTTGGGCAGAATGACCCGTGCGCCTCACTCACGAAAGCCTTGTGGGGGGACTGAGGGGCTTACTTGTTGCTGAGGCAGCGTCTCAGGGAGTAGGAGGCGCCTCCACCGCAGGTGCGCGAGCACTCGCTCCACGGGCCCCAGGCGTCCCACTGGCCGTCTCGGTCCTCCTCGGAGCGCGCCGTCCTGGAGCTCTGTGGGAAAGAGAGGTTGGTCAGCACCCCGAAACACGCATCCTTGAAGGTGCGCAGCCGTTTCAGCTGCACCTGGTGGACGCGCTGGGGGTCCACTGTGCACCCTATGATCAGATTCCCTCCAATCAGATGATGTGGACACGTCATCTTGTCATACTGCGGAGGCTTGCTGTGATGGCTGGCTGTCAGGCCGCCAGTTCTTCCAACAAAATCCCTGCCATCGGGTGTGTTCTGACTCCCAGTGACCCTCCTAGGGTAGAGTGGTGCTGCTCACGGGCTTCCAGGATGGTAACTCTACACAGGAGGAGAAAGCCTCCTTTTTCTCCCTCAGAGCAGCAGGTGGTTTCAAACAGCTGACCCTATGGTGAGCAGCCCGATGTGTCGCCCACGCCACTACCAGGATCCCTCACCACAACCGTAAAGGCCGAAACAGCACTCCCTACAAACCCCGCCTTTCCCAGGGCAGAACCTCCAACAAGCCCTATCGCACTGCCCTGGTAAAGTGGCCCGCCAGCCCCTTTTGGCTGCTAGAAAATGTGGCACTGAATGGCTAACGAAGACATGGGTCACCCCAAAGCCTGTCCTTCCCAATGGAAATTCTGATTGCACTCCACAGCCTAGCTTTTAGAATTAATCATCCATCCCAATCACACAATAGCGTGGGGGGCCCTCTGTGTCTAGCACTCGCTTAAATAATGAGGTAAAAAAGACCCCTGGCCAGTTTCGGCCATATTTCTCAGCCTCGTCTCAGCTCATTGAATCTAGCTCCCAGATCTTTCAATGTTGACAAAGAACTTCCCAACCCCCCTTTCTGCTCTGTGTGGTCAGAGGATTGGATGGTTGAGGGAATGAAGGCAGGGTTTGCCTGATACGGTAACTAAGTGGGTGACGCGCATACATTTGTACACTGCAATTTCCCTTGTTGCATTCTAATGACATGGGACAGGAACAAAGACCAGCCGTGCAAATGCTAGAATTGGCGCAATGATTCAAATGAGTGAGGTCAGTAACTACCAGCCAGAATACTGTCCAACTGCATCACTACAGCACACACACACACACACACACACACACACACCCTCACATGAGATCAACCAAATCCTTGAGGGGTTTCCCTCCGGCTGCTTGCTGGGTTAAGACACTCGTGGAATAATAGAGAGTTGTGATTTTGTGTGCCTAGAAAAGCAAATGGTTTCGTACAACTTTTACATGCCTCTTCTAAGACAGCAGTAAAGAGGCTGTAAGGTGAGGTCTCCCTAACTGCACATCTCACCTCATCACTGGGTTTCAGGTTTCGGTGTCCCCGGCCTTGTGAAGGGCCCACGTGTCTCTGCAGGAGATCACACACTAGGTCTGAAGCAGGAGAGCCACCCCCCCCCCCACCCCCGACTTCTCTTAACAGCGCCCGTAAACAGCAGCCAGTGCAACCACATCCCTGCTTCCTAATCCAGGGACGCAAAGTGGCTCTCTTTCTCTCTAATGGGGCCAGATGCTTACCTCTCTAACCAGAAGCGTCACTTAGCAACGCCTCGCAGGCCGTTCGAAATCTCCAAGTATTTGTTTAGCTTGAAGCAGACCTTCCATCTAAACAGGTTTTGTGTCTGCTCCAGGTGGAAGTCAGGCTGACTTTGCTGAGATTTTGCACATTCCTCTTGGCTTTACAACACGTTTTAATAAGGCAAACTGCAAACGGCACGCCGCCGGGGAAGCTGAGGCGGGAGAAACACAAGGCCGAGCGCAGGGTCTGCACTTGCGACTGCAAGTCACAAGCAGTCATCACTCATCTGCCAGCGGAGGCTTGCAAGTTGCTGTGATGCTGAACGGGTTTCGGCAGGGCTTCCAGACTAAGCTGGGCTAGGAGGACGTCCTGGTGATCTACTCTGGAAGCGCAGTCAGGGACAACCCCAGGGCCTGCAAAAGTCTGCTGATCCTAGGGGTGGCTCCGCACAGTGTTTTGTTCTGTTACAGTGTCGGACTTGATGGCAGTTGATAAAGCAATGCTGGCTACTTCTAACCGCCCCCCTCTCCACCCCCCACACTTTCTACCTCTATTTTTCGACCCCACATATTTTTTGTACTTGATCTCCATCCCATCCCTCTCATACTTTAATACTCAGGTCTCAGGCACGAGGCCTCGGGGACTATCAAAACACAGTGATCAGAAGATCTCCCTTGGAAACGTCAGCAGCTGTGCCAGGCCAGGGGTGCTAGGAGTCAGTCGATGGCGTGAGGTTGGTCAGGTCAGGTCAGGTCAGTCTTCAGTGGCTGACCTCAGGTGACAGAGAACCAGCAAAGAGCACCCATTCATTCATCTTGATGCCTGCCCGTGTTTCGCCATTGGAAGGGTGACCCCAAAAAGTCAAAACTGTATCTGATGTATCTGAGGGAAATGCTCCTTATAAAGCCTGCTCTGACCATGAAAACTAAACACTGCCACCAAGCCGGTCCTCATTCAGGGCAACCCTGTAGGACAGAGTAGAACTGCCCCTGTGGTTTCTGAGACTGTAACTCTTCACGGGAGTAGAAAGCCCTGTCTTTTACCTGGGGAGCAGCTGGTGGTTTCTAACTGTTGACCTTGCAGATCGCAGCCCAATGTGGAACCACCTGCCCACCCTCAGGGCTCCTTAGCACTATGGAAAGTTGAGTACTTCTCTTGAGTCATTCTATAGAGAAAAAACAAACAAAAACCTGCCTAACCATGCTTAGGCATCTCATCCTGCATCTTGACGTTTGGGTGTAGTGTTGATGAAGACTCCTAAATCAAATGCTTTCCTGTTAGAAAATTCAGCAATCAACTCCCAGCCCCCTCTCTCCTTCGTCTCTGGCCAGGTGAGGGGTGCTAGCCTCAGTAAGTGCCAGGTGTAGATAGGGTACAAGTTGTAGTCACCGCTCCTTGTATACACTAAGTCTAGGGGCTATGAATAGCAGGTTTAAGGACAACATCACACTTGCTCCCTCCAAAGCAAAATCCACTAGTATGGAGTCCTTCAGCTTATAGAGACCCTACAAGGCGAAGTCCAACTGGGAACCTTGACAGGAGCAGACAGATTCATCACACTCCCTTCATTTGCTGCCCAAGCAGCTTTTGTCAAGAAAGGCTTTGGGCCTTTGCATGCGCTAAACATACCCCCTCCCCCCCCCAAAAAAAACAACAACAACCTGCCAAACCCTCTGCTGTGAGGGTGATTCCAACTCACAGAGACCCTCTCTGCTGGAGCACGAGTGCTCCAAAGGCTTCCAAGGCTGCGGATCAGGCAGATGCAGACTGCCTCATCTTTCTCGAAAGTAGAGGTTGGTGGGTTCAAACCCCTAATCTTCGGGTAAGCAGCCTAACTCTTAACTCACGGCCCCACCAGAGCTCTTTCTTACAAAACAACCCACTGTCATTAAGTCAGTTCAGACTCATAGCAACAGCAGAGGGTTTCTAAGACTGGAAATGCTGGTGGGAGCCTCATCTTTCTGCCAACTCCCTTGAAGGTGGCAGCCCAAGCAGTTCAGTGTCAACAGGAGGCCTTATCTTACACTCAAACACAAACCCAATTCACAGCTATGGAGTCACTGCTGACTGACAGCAATGTCCACGTGGGTTTCTGAGGCTGTAAGTGTTAATGAGAATAGAAAGCCCAGTCTTTCTCCCACAGAGCTGCAGCTGGTTTTGAACTGCTGACCATCAGGATTGCAGCGCAAGGTGTAACCACCACACCACCAGGGCTGCTTTTTCTTGCACCGAAGTACTGCTAAATAAGAACCATCTGCACCTGTTCTGACTTACCTATGAATTCCACTCGGAGAGGGGCTTAGGAAGAATTCATTTGTAAATCAGGGACTGTCTCCTACGAATACGAGAAGAGCGGCCCTAAATCCATCAACCTCAGCATGGTGTCATTTTCTCACCATCCCTGGCTCATCTAACCATGGTTTTCATCTCATAGCTCTGTGGCTGACTTCAGAGCCAAATGCGCCAACACACTCTCAGGTGACCAGCGCCAAGTCTGACAGCTACGAGTAATTCAACATCCTGAGTAATCACATGCAGCAGTTTCCGCCCGAGTCTCACTGCCCAATGACACCGAGCCCCGCCCACCAAGTCCCGCCCGAGTCTCACTGCCCAATGACACCGAGCCCTGGAAAGACCTCAGATGTAACACTTCACCCAGAAACCATTTTTCCCGGAAACTGACCAGGTTATTGAGGACTTATACAAGAGATGTTGTCGTAAGAAGTACACATTAGCAATAAAAGAACCTAGAGGTTGTTCTTGCTCAGACACACACAGATGGGTAGAGTTTTCTAAAAGCTGCCATAATGATCGAGGCATAACGCCCCCAGCCCCAACCCTGGGGGGTGGAATGAACAACAGAAAGGTGGGTGAAGGGAGAGAGCAGTCTGCGTAAGACACGAAAATAAGTCATAATTTATCAAGGGGTCATGAGGGTGGGGGAGGGGGGGAGGGGATAAAGAGGAGCTGATACCAAGGGTTCAAATAAAAAGTAGATGTTTAGAAAAAGATGATGGCAACATATGTACAAATATGTGTGATAGAATTGATGTATGGAATGTTAGCAGAGCTGTAAAGAGCCCCCACTAAATTGTCACGCGAGGGGAAAGCGACAGAGCTAAGCGCAAGTGCAGGGGGTCGGGAGGAAGCGGGTGGTCGTTCTCATCAGATGGAAGTCGTGTAACGGCTGAAACGATACGGCAGAGCAAAGTGCTTCTCCCACATCTACCCATCTCAACAATCACAAAATCGTTCTGGGGTGTGGCAAAGACCAGCTGGAAGAGAGCAGGGCTCTGATGGGCCACCCTTTTCTTCCGCCAGCTGGAGATGCGTATGCACTGTCTCAAAGAGGCCACAAAGACAGGCGGCGTCAATGACGGAGAACAGCTGTTCTGTGGTGTGCCCCAGTGGAGTGGGGGAGTCCATCCATTCAAACAGCCTGTCCACGGCCAGAGCTGTGGAAAGAAGCTACAGATCCCATTACAGTGAACCCTCGCCACTTCGCGCTTCGACTTCCGTGGCTTCACTCTATTGCGGTTTTTGCATAACAGCGCATGCTCTGTCATTACTGCCACTGATTGGCTCATACTGTACATGCTTCTGTCTGCATCGCTA